GTGTGTGTGTGTGTGTGTGTGTGTTGCATCCTCATCATCCTCCCCATCTGTTTCATCTCCATGATGCCCGCCCCCTTCTCACCACCATAATCCTCATCCACACACACACACCCTCCCCCTCCGCCTCATCTGTCGCCGCTGCAGATACGGGGACGGCGAGTTGGCGCTTGACAAGGCGTTCGTCTGGGTTGCCATCTTCAACAGTCTGTCCCAGGTCAGAGCCAACGGCTGATACTTGTGGCGTGGCTGCGTGGGCACAGCACTACACCCGTCGAAACAACTCTCATCGACATTCCAAGATGATGCCATGCAAACATGGACAAACGAACACACACACACACACACACACTATCTCGCACTCACTCACTCCCTGTCCTTGTGTTTACTCTCGCATGCTCACCCCCTCCCCTCCTCCCCACTCGCCCTCCTCCCCTTCTCCTCTTCAAACCCCCCCCCCCCCAACAATGCCAGGCGTGGGCGATGTACTGCCTGATTCTGTTCTATTACGCGTTCAAACCTGATTTGAAGCCCATGCGCCCGCTGCCCAAGTTTCTGACCATCAAGGCCGTCATCTTCTTCTCCTTCTGGCAGTCCGTCTTCATTGCCATCCTTGTCAAGGCTGATGTCATCAAGGTGCCTGAGGGGATCGTGTGTCTGTGTGTGTATGTGTCTGTGTGCGTCTGTGTGTCTGTGTGTGTATGTGTCTGTATGTGTCTGTGTCTGTCTGTCTGTCTGTGTGTGTGTGTGTGTCTGTGTCTGTATGGATGTGGCCCATGCACAAGACCAAAAAAATGCGCATGTCGTCCTCACTCTGCCCCTTCCCTCACACTCAACCCCCTTATCCTCACACACACACCCTTGTCCTCCTCCAACCCACGCCCTTCACCGAATCAGGAGAGCTCGACGTGGACGTACTACACGCAGGAGAGCGTGGCTGCCGGCATCCAGGACTTTCTCGTCTGCATCGAGATGTTCCTCGCAGCCATCGCACACAGATACGGTCAGGCAGAACGTGATGATGATGATGATGATGATGATGATGATGATGATGATGATGATGATGATGATGATGATGATGATGATGATGATGATGATGATGATGATGATGATGATGATGATGATGATGTGTGTGTGTGTAAGAGCGCTGCTGACAGGCTCTGAACGCATTCCCCTCCCCCTGTTGTTGTATTCACCACCGTCACCCCCCCCCCTTTCTCTCTCTCGCTCTCTTCTCGCAGTGTTCTCGTACAAGGAGCACCTGACTGCGAGTGACCGGGGCGATGCGCAGCTCTCCTTCCGCCGCGCCGTTGTCCAGCTCCTCGACGTCCGCGACGTTGCACACACCGTCTTCGACCACGTGCAGGTACACACCACCGGCTCGCTTCATTGCTTGGCTGTTTGCTTGCTTGCATGCACGTGAGGGCGGCTAATGTGTGTTGGTTGCTCGTCGCTCGTGTTGCTGCTCTTTCACTTCCGCTGTCCTCCGTGTCTCCACGTCCACCCACCGCGCTCACATCATCCCACGCGACAAACAAACCAACCCTCCCTTCCACCTCTGCCCCCCTCGCACTTCCCTCCACATCCCATCAGACCATCTACACGATCGACGGAAAGCTTGCGCAGCGACGAACGCTGGACAAGACGGGCGAGCACACGGCACTGCTGACGGGCCAGGCGCCCTCGCTGCTGTCTGAACCCGCGCCGCCAAAGGACGGCGAATACGGCGCTGTCAAGCCCGCGTCAAACGTGTAGCCGTGGTGTTCACGCCACGTGATGGTGGTATGAAGTCGGATGGGATGGGATACGTGGAGGGAGGGGATGAAGGAGAAGGGATGAGGTGGCATGAGTGGGTGTGGTCGGCGTTGAAGGGTAGTTGGTTGGTTGGTGGGTTGGTTGGTTGGTTGGTTGGTTGGTGGGTTGGTGGGTTGACGGTGAGGAAGGGAAATGCAGGGGTGAGTGTTAACCAGAGAATCTAACTGTCCGCCTCCATTACAGTATGATGGCAGAGCAACAAGGGTGCACTGTAGCGAACAATGGGTGTGAAGGGAGCGGAGCAGGCTCATGTTTTCAGCCACACACACACACACACACACACACACACACACACACACACACACACACACACACACACACACACACACAGACAGCACAAAAAGTTATGCCATCGCGCCAACAAATCAGAAGAAGAAGAAGCAACAGCAACACCAGTTACAACACAGTTGCTGCAGCTGCTGATCCGCCAACACCACCGCTACAGCAGCAACAGCAGCGACAGACGACACCGGCAGTAACAGGAAGAGTGACGCGTGATCGGTGAGCATGCCGTCCAAGGCCAGCCGTCGCAAGCGCAACAACAGCGGCAACAGTGGTAGCAACGGCGACAAAGCAGTGCAGCAGACCCGGCTACGTGGCTTTCATCTGGTACGATGCGCTCATCAAGACATGTGCCCCTGCAGCGTGATGTGACGGCTTGCTTGTTGTTGTGTGCTGCCTACCGCTG